TTACAAATCAGCCATCAGCCAACACCACAAAGCAACCAAGTGGGGGTCTGGATGACGCTAGCTGAGCAAGCAATGCCTCCAAGCTAGCAAGCTTTGACTTTGGACTTTGTGTTGGACTCTGTGTTATGGTGGGTGTCGGTCGAACTCCATTTATAAGCTAACGTTAGCTAGACAGAGAGAAGCTTGAAGGTCATTTGGATTTTCCCTGAATTCTTTACATAGAAATCAGTCCACAGGTCTCACTTTTACAACGATATATATACAAATTGATTTCTTATCATTTTAGTTAGACTTCAATAAATCTGGTTTGGTTCCAACAGAAGTTCGTGAAGTTCCTCAGGGCACCATCATGGATCCTCTACTGCTCTCATTGTTCATTAACACAGACTGACTGTGTGTTAAATGTTGAATAATTAACATTTTCTTTAAGAGAAAATTAACCTTTTATTACCTGCTGACTGGTGCAGTGCATGATGAGAGATGTAGTGCTTACCGTAGCGTGAGAAATAGTGAGGACACCGCTCTTCACTGAACACTTCCTTCGCTGCCAGACCTTCCTCAGCCTGATGAAGACAAAACTGAGTGAAGCTTAAAACGGACAACTTTTGACTGGAGTTTGGCAGAAACAGAAAATAATCATGAAATAAAATTATTGACCAACATACTGACTGTGCAAATATAGTATCGACCAATCAGAAGGTCTGTAACACCTGTACAGGTGAACAGACAGTCGTACCCGTCGCTCTTCTTCAGCAGGTATCCTTTCTTCTCGCTGCCAAACTCCTTGTTTCCCTGCAGCTGGTGCATACTGTAACCACTCTGTTTACTCTGAGAGTCCTAAAAAACACATATATAATTATATATTAGATTATATATTATACAGTAAACACATATGAAAAGATTACATATTAATGCACAGAATATAATTCAATTCAATTCAATTTTATTTGTGTGTATATATATATATAAACTGCTTTTTAACAGGCAGAAACCTAGGACAGACCCTTCGGTGTACACTAATACACTAATAATAATAATAGTAAACATATAATAATATCTCTGTTGTCCTTCCTTCACATTCATACATGATATAATATTGTTGTAGGCAATAAAATATTAATAAAGAATATGTGTATGAAGCTTATATTGGATGATGATGTCCTGTATGTATAACTGTTTATTCGTGTTCTCTGTTATTCTATAAGTTTATTCATGTTTCTGTCTGTATGTAACTGTAATCTGATTACATCTGTTTTTCTGGAACTGTAATGGACAGAGTGGAGGAACAACGATCAGATCAATGCAACTCAACAGAGCAGTTACTTTTTTATATGTATTTTATAGTGAACCTTCTGGACTTAATGAAACACAGGACTTGATCTGTTTTCATTAAAATGTTGATTAATATAATCAATAATTCTCTCTGCAGGTGATCTGGACCCTGAGGGAGACACTCGCTGCTGTAAACTGTGTTACATTAAAGCTGCTCGTGTGTGTGTAATGTTTCCTGATGTACTTTCACCAGGAAACAGTGTGAGTGATGATGTTATATACACACACATACACACTGCAGTCACATGGTCATTGATTGTTGATCAGATTGATTGATACAATAATGTTAAACAGGAATTAACAGCTGTGTTATGTGTTATATGTATGTTTTAATCATATATTAATGATAAATATATATCAATCAATATAACAGCGTAAACATATAAAATGTTCTTTTACAGTGACATTCAGACGCAGTGAGCTTCTGTAGGTGAACGTGTGATCAATACATTGACAACACTAACTTATTATTGTATTGTAAACATTCTGTATCAGACTTTATATTTATTGTAATATCATTATTTATGATTCACAGCAGCAATACCAGATCAATAAATCACAAATAATCACAAAGCGTCAGATTTACAGTGAACATGACAACATGCAGATAAAGATGCAGCTTTAAAATGACGATGACGAGGCAGACTTACTCTCCTGGACTTCAGTCAGAGAGGGCGAGAGAGAGAGAGAGGTCAGAGGTCAATAAAGAGGTCATTTGTATCACATTAGCATCCGCCCCTGGCCCCGCCCCCGTTATCTCTCAGCCAATCAGCTCTGTGCAGGTGTGAGGCGTTTAGGTTCTTCATGAAAGTAAAGACTATTAGAAGACATCCGTCAACTACAACTCCCAGGGTGCATTTCACTGACAGCCAATCACAGAGCTTCACATTAATGTTTCACTGCTCATTTTATAATCTGGATGAATTCAGTAACCATGGCGATGTGTTAACCAGCAGACCACGCCCCCTTACTTGCTGACCCCGCCTCGCTCTGTTAAACCCCGCCCCACCCTCCCAGGTGCTGTACCTCCCTCTGGTCCAGCTGTAAGGAGGTCTTGATGAGATCTCTGAGAGCTGTCAGCTGCTTCTTCTCCTCGTCCTGACTCTGTTTGATCTGTGGAGACAGCAGAGGTCACACCTGAGCTCACCTGAGCTCACCTGAGGTCAGCAGGGGGCGCTGCGCTGTTTATTAGAACAAACAAGGGTCTTACATTAAACAGGTCGGCAGCCAGTTTCTCGATGTACTGCTTCAGTTTGTCGGCCGTCTTCAAACCGTCCTGAAAAAAACTGCAAACAGGAAAACGAGACAGGAAGCTGAGTGGGTTTTTCAAAATAAAAGATGGGATTTGAATCTTATCTCAAGTGTTCTTACTTGCACTGAGCGTGGTAGTACTTGATTAGGTTCTGCAGCAGGTCCACGCCCTTCTTCGTCTTTATCTCATTGACTTTGATCAGATACTGTCAATCAAACACACATCTGTCAATCAATCACACAGCTGTCAATCAATCACAGCTGTCAATTAAACACACAGCTGTCAATCAAACACACAGCTATCAATCAAACACAGCTGTCAATCAAACACAACTGTCAATCAATCACAGCTGTCAATTAAGCACACAGCTGTCAATCAAACAGCTGTCAATCAATTACACAGCTGTCAATCAAACACAGCTGTCAATCACACACCTGTCAATCAAATACACAGCTGCCAATCAAACACATAGCTGTCAATCAATCACACAGCTGTCAATCAAACACACAGCTGTCAATCAATCACACAGCTGTCAATCAATCACACAGCTGTCAATCAATCACACAGCTGTCAATCAATCACACAGCTATCTTCGACAGCCGACTGAAGTCTTAAGTCACAACTAGTCATTTGAAACAAGTCACAGCTCAGGTCTGTGAGGTCGAGTCCAAGTCAGGTGTGAAACATTAGTGCTGCCTGTAGTGACTGTGTCAGCCTGTAGGGGGCGCTGCCAGGTACCTCACACATCTGCAGCTGGAACAGCCTCCTCTCTTTCTCCATCTCTTCAGCGATTTCAGCTCCTGTGATCTCAGTTCGGATCATCCCGTGTTGTTTAGCGTGTTCTCTCTTTTCCTTCTCGATCTTCGTGCTGGAAAACACAAACAACAGAGACATCACTCAACACACTGCTGTCTACAGCCTCGCCAGCTAACAGCTAACAGCACTGACAGCTAACAGCTAACAGCAAGCTTATGTCAAGCTAACTAGCATATAGCTAGCATGCTGCTCAATCCACCAGGCTCATTAATGTGTCCACATCACTAACAGTTCAAATCAAGCAGAATTGATTAATTGTTCATTGAACGTACAGTTAACATCAATGTGTGTACTGATCCAGCAACAGTCTGATCAATAACAGGCTGTGTGTGGAGGTATGAGACGTTCACTGCAGCTCTGAGAAACACAGACTCAATTCTAAAAAGATTATTCTGTGAAATACACAGCCAGGTTTACTGAGTGAGCCAATACAAACCTTTCCAGGATATTTGGTCATTTTAATTTATTTATGTGGATATGAAGATCTACAAGGACCCAACAACTGTTTCAGGGGGAGAATCAGCGAGCAGGTTGTTTCTACCTCCATCCTTGTTAACCTAGATAATAAAAGCTCGAATGTACCCTCACTGATGGTGACAAATGACTCATAAAACTCTGAACGATGGTTAAAAACAAGAAACCGACCCAAAGGATGCAAGATAAGCTCTTTCAGGGAGTGAAGTTGAAAACGTTAGCCTGGTGATGAGCTAACTCAAAGAACACAAGGTTTGATCCCTCGCTGGGTGAGCTGAGCAACCTTAAGGGCCAATTAAAGAAGCTCAATATTAAAATGCTACGTCTGCCAGGAGGGTTGAGAAGGGCTTCACGGTGTAAAAGTGGACCGGCTCACAGGAGATACACCATTACCCAGCAACAAAAGTCTGCTAAGCTAGGAAGTAAATAACAGTGTCATCAGCATAAAGATGAACATATTTGAGGTAAATCATTAATAACTGTCTGTAAGAACCGGAGGAGGAGGATCATTAAAGTCTTCATTCGTATCGATTTGAGTTCAAACGGACTCACAACTTGGTCTCGTAGTCCTTCCAGGCTTTATCAAAGGGTTTCTTCAGGTCCTGAAACAGAAACGATCAATTAGCTGATGGAAAATAATCAATAATAAAAGCAGAATAATTCAGTGATTTATAAATTAAACAGGAAGAAACAGTCCGACCCCTTTAACTCCCTTCAGATCTCCTTTCAACAGCGAGTCCAGAGTGAAGACCACGTTATGGCTCAAACTCTGCAGCTGAACACGAGACACACCTTCATTATCAACAACTGAAAGCAATGATTGATTTATGTATTGACTGATGTATTGATTGATTGACTGACCAGGTTCTTGAGCAGAGCGGCAAGGTCTTTAACAAGGCAGGAAAACTTAACGAAAGCAGCTCCCAGTTCAGAGTTGTTTCCTCCCAGTCGCTCCAGAGCCTGACTGAAGCTCTCCTGGTTTCCAGCATGCTCTGCTCCACCACCACAACAACAACAACAATCAACAACAACAATCAACTGTGTGAGTCAGTGTGTGTGAGCAGGTTGTAGCGTAGCGACCCCCTCAACTATCATTGTTCACGTTATACATTTAAACATAAATTATGCTAATGGCATAAAGCTAACGATAGCTTTCTAATAACCAAGGGTGATGCGAGGTAGGAGCATCCAGCGAGCTAACTGTTGCTGGGTCTGGTGTTGGTCGCTGTAC